TAAATAATAATATAATTTCTATAACACGACATTTTATTGTGTACGTTAATGAATTCATATATTTGTATGGTATACCTAATACCTTCTTTACCTAATTTTATGAAGCTCTACCTACTTAATTATTTAAACGAGGCAACTACTATGAATATTTTTGGGATACAACTAACACCTATATAATATGTTATAGTACTCGGAAATCAAAACATAATTATCTTAGGTACCTAAGATAGGTAAAATTTGTAATTTCCAAGTCACCGGGAACGATGATATTTTAACATTTTACAATTACAAGTCTTATGTGACAGCATTCACAGTTAATTTATCACGTCTATTTTATATGATATATATTTTTATATATAAGATATTATATACTTGTATACTTATATAAATTATAATATTTGCATCCAATGCAACGCGTGTCTTCTGCTTGTAGGTAGACTATAACCGGTTAACCTTAAAATCAGATTTTAGTTGCGCCAAAATTACTAACGAAAATAGGAATAACAATTTTTTATTTTATCATACAATTTATAAACACCGTGTTGTGTAAGATTAAATAAATACAAATAATGAATAAGTGCGTTTGTCCGAAAAACATATGCTGAAGGTTAAATGTTATTTATTTATTTATTTTCAAAATATTGCACACCTATTAGGTTTCTTTACATTTCTATAAATACATAATCTTAAACATAAACGTCGTTATGCGTGTATTATTTTAAATAATCGTTACCCGCAACAATACTGCTGTTTATTTGTAACTATTTTTTTTTTTACTATTTAAAGTTCAACTTCGAAGTTCGAACCTTACCTAGTGATTTTAACGAACACATTATTATATATATCTTGTATAATGAATATAATAGTGGCGCTTATTAAAACAACAAATATTGATGAATTTTCGACTTGATTAAAGTCATCTAATATATTATTATACCAGGTTATCTTGCACCGTGTATAATTCGCATCATAGTAATAGGTATACGTAATTATAAATAGGTAATATTTAAATACCTACTTAAATTGTAGGTACCAATGTACCTACATGATTAACTACGTTAAGTTGTTATTTAGATAATTATTATTTGATATAATTATTCGAAAAAGCACATTAAAATAGATCACAATCGGTGATAACCAATTTGTTTTCAGTTATTTGATATGAAATAATACGAACATTTTTAACGAGCAATAACAAGTAGGTACCTACTGTACAATATGTGATAACAATAATTAATAACTAACTACACCCAATTTACAACCATAAATTATGAATATAGATAGGAAAAATAAATAATTGATATTATACGTAATATATAATATTTACAAATTATTAATAATGTTAGTACCTACTAAAGACTATGGTTATTGTTGACCCTTCCTGGGTTTTAATTATTATGCTTCCAAAAAATATGGTACACGTACCTATAGTAATTTTTCGAGAGTTACAATTATACTAAACAATAAAAAAATTCCATACAATCCACAGTAAGTGGATGAGTATAACTATTAACCATTATACCTGGTTACCGAAAACATAAATATTTAATCGAAAGCAATAAAGAACGTATTAATCACTTTAATGATAACAATTCTACATCACACAGGAATACAGGATGAGCCTCTATGTTCCGTTCCTCCTCCCCATAATAGGCTAACTCATATAAAAGCGATGACCTACTCTTTAGAAGTTAAAAATGACTTTAGCGTCACTATAATGTTGTTTATTACTGAAACCTTCCAGATTCACCCTCCGAAATACAGAACATCCTCAATCAATCTCCACTACTATCAAATTCATAAACGCCGCCCAACTACAAAACCAAATTAAAAATATTTAATATTAATTCATTTATCTCTTGTTATAAAACATACAAACAGTATCATTAATATAGTTTTTATTACACTAAAATTGTAATTTAACCTTATTCGCCCAGTGGCACATGCCGCCGAGAGTTTAATAATAAATTGTGATAACAATTTATTTAACCAAAACAGTGATGTCTTTAAGTATTTAATTATATTTTAATGGAATTCATAATTCATCTATAACTATCTAGAAAATGCATTCGTTTTGACTAAGACGAGTAGCACATTTTACGATTTTAGTGTACATGTTCCTTTTTAAATCACAATAATAAAAATAAATATCCATGCTATGTACACACAGTTATCGACTTATCGAGTTTCCATTTGCCCATATTTATAATTATTTAATAGTTTAGTACGAAATTGAAATTAATAATAATTATTGAATATGCGAATAATTTGAATGTGGCTAAAATGTACCGTTTCGCATTATTTTAAATAATACACCTCCGTCATAACACATGTTGTATTTGTGTCTGTAATCAATACGTTTAAGTTGCATGTATAGGTTATGAAAATAATGCTATGCACATAACATATAAAGTATAAATATTTATATCAACGTTCCGTTGCCTAATAACAATTATTTAAATTTAAATGCCATAAATTATTATTTTAATTGTTGATTATTCTAATAAGTGATTAAATTAGTAAACCAAGGCGCTTACTAATGATAATACTATTATATAGGCATATAATATATGTGCGTATGTTACATAACTTATAATGCAATAAAACATCTACAAGTACAAAGTTTATTATATGTTTATTATTGGCGTACTTAGTAACGAGTGGTATAAAGTGGTATAATATGACTATATACCACCATAGACGATTTTAATAATTATGTATATTATAATTTATAATGTAATGATAAAAAAAACTTGATCGAACATTACATTAATATTGGCTTCAATGTGATTGACTTTCCTGTAGTATTATTACCTAGAAATAAAATATAGGTAGGTCTGTCCTGGAGTACGCCCTAATAAATTAAATACCTACGTTCCATGCATAATAATAACATACTCATACTATCCATACTCATAATCATTCATGTTACTAGTCCCCAAATTACCAGGAAAAAAGGCATGAATTCAATACATCGTACAACAGAAATAATATTGATGAAAACCGATATTATGACGTGAGATGTGAATTATTGCTAGTCGGACACAAAAGATTTGACGGATTATAGAAGACATAAATCGTAAAATATTGCTTTTAACGTCACATTTTATTGTTTCCCTCGTATCTAAAAGTTTTTGACGATATAGAGTATACTTTATATCGCCAAAAAACCATAGATGACCCTTTTTTGTTGGATGAAATCGGAATAAATATATAATTATTAACTAGCTATACTTCGCCCGGGTTAATATTATAATCTACCTTTCTATCGTTTTCTGTTTTGCTTCGGTTGAAATATAATATAATACTTACTCAATTACAATGTTTGACTATTTATGATTTTCCATTTCTTAATTCAGAGCATATTTTTTATGTACAGCCAAAAAAGACAGACGAAAAACTCAACGAATGCCTATTATCCGGAGTAAATCCAATAGATCGGTCAGGTTAGTTCTTTATGCGTTTTTAGTTTTATACATAAAAAATACGTCCAAAATTTAGAAAGGAAATCATAAATGTAATCATTGTAAATTTTAATTGTATCCACAAGTATTTGATTAAATTTTTTTTATGTATTTGTAAAAAAAATTGGCATGTCATGTTTTTACTAATTTATTATAATAGTAATATAATCTGTAACATACGGCAACCGTTGTAATAAAAATAATAATATTCAATTTCTGTGAGCCAAAACTAAATTCTTGTGTGCGCCACCCCATACCAACTAACCTATATAATATATAAATTGAAAAAATAAGGTATAAACACCACCCGAGCATCAAGGCGTTCATTGAAATAACTTTTTTTGAAAATATTATGGAATAGATGTCTATAATTATATATGTCTGGATATCCTTATACAAATGAATAATTACAATATGCATAGCCTTTAGTCACAAATCATAGTTATATACTATACATAATAGTTCTATTATCGGTAATCCTTGATGAACGCATAAGTACTATTTTGGTCCACAGTCTATAATCGGCAATCCACTTTGCCTATCTATCCGTTTTCATTAGAGATTATTCCCAAGAGAACGAGATTACGATTATAATATTATAACTTTGACACATTTTATTGTGACTGTGATACGAATTTATTTCAAAGACTATTTCGCATACCTTTGGGAAATATTGGAATTTCATTCTTTACAGACATATTATATATATATTAATGTACATATTTTATATTGTAAATAATTGATTCCCAAGTTCCCGACACATTTTTCTCTGACATTTTCGTCAGATAAATGACGTATGACGTGTGGGTTACTGAAAATAAATTGCTTTGCATTAGGTACTTAACGCCGAAACACGCACTGCACCGCTCAAACATTGGCGTCGCCGAATTGGCAGCGTCGAAATGGCAAAATCGACATCGACAAAAAAGGTCCACTTCCCCCGCTCAAGTATAAATCAATACCGTTATCGTCATGTTATTTATTCCTGTGCGGTATAAACCGCTTGTGGACCTTTGGTAAATCACCTTTCGTCCCGATTAAAGCAGGCAGATATATGTGCACATGTACAAAGTACATCACCGCGCAACAACATGAACCACGATATCATAAAATCAGTTTTACTAAAAAAAAAAAAAATAAAACAAATCGTTATACACGGCGATGTCAAATATTCTCGGGTATTTCATTGCATGATAATCTTTGGTAATTTTTGTTCCGAAAATGTATACGTACACGCCTAAACCACGAATATTCTAATACGAACATTGTTGTTTAAATCCCCTCACCAAACGATATATTTGGTTAATATTTTATGCTACTTTTGTTATCCATTTAATATTACATTAATATAATGTATGTATAAATATCAGTTAAGAAAATAGTAAATATTACGGTCAAACGACTTCATATTCTCACTCCGAGTAATTAAAATGTCAAGAATACAAAGAACAGAATATTCTAATGATACATACATGATCCGTAGACCGCGGACAGAAACGAGTACAATCACAGGAAGCAAAATATATTTAAAACCATAACATGAAACAAAACTGATAAAAATAAAATTATAATAATAATAATAATATATAATATTTGTTTTACCGTGAGAAAAGAGATTAGGCGTAAACTCGTTTAGAAATTAAAACAAACCGTTGTGGGTGCATAATTCACTATAATGATATCATAATATACTTATCATTGTATCAACCATATCAATACTCAGTATATATGTAATGCGTATACAATGGTGCAAAATATATTTTTTAGTGTACAACGTTGACAAAATCATCTGTATTCATAACGTTCGGATTATCTGCATCACGCGGCGTCAACAGATAATCCTTTGAAAAACTTTTTCGCTCAGCACATAATACCTATAATAATTTACGCACACAGATTTTTTTTCGGGTTATTACGGTTTTTTTTTTTTTTGACCAGATTCGAGTATTTTTTTCGAGTCTATGTTTTTTCACCCACGCCGTCTGAAGGGTGAATATTAACGCACGCGTTTTCGACTCTCGAATTCGAATAAACTAAGCGACGTAGACGATGATAAATTATATATTATGTGTACCGATAATCTGGCTGTACATTATAAAGCTGCTGTACGTCGAACTTAAGCGACAGATCGTTCGTACAAAAAATGCGTTAAGGAGATTATTATTAATTACCGCTCCGTCTCTAAATGTACGAATATATTACAATATACCATTATTTTTACAACACCTCATTTTTGGGTTCACCCTCTAGCTATTACGCTCCAGATTGTGCGCATTTATTTGGGATTTGCGAATATTAGTTTATTCTGAAGTTAAAGTCAGCGATAGAGCAAACAATTCTAATACATCAGGCTTATTTATATTTAGTTTTTATATCATGATCTCTTTTCGTTCAACTGTTTCAAATTGCATGGCACTACGCTGTATGTTTTTCGTTTTCAGAGTAGTAGTAGTAGTAACATAGATGAATATGTTTTTGGGCTAAATACAAGATAAAAAATGTTTCTGACAGATTTTTGGTGAGCTTTTCGTTGTCATGGTCCCTTATTGACAAAAACATATTTTTTGATTCATAGATTTTCCTTGCAGAGGAAAAATATCGAGTAGCGTGCTCCATGGTCTTATATGTTATGCGGCGTACACTCATCGCCGCAGTGAGACTCGGGCCATCTCTGCAGTTGCTGTTGCTGTTGCTGATTCAGATGACAGTCCTGCCGGGTATCGCGGACAGGCGTTACGACCACCACTTGTTGGGCTCGAGCCTGGAGTGGAACCGTCCTTACGACCCACGAGTCGTCATCCACAGTCGGTTCCAGATGACGCGAGACGGGCGTGTGATAGTCGTGTCCCCACGCTTCCGGTCTGGTGTCCCGTTCACGTTGGGTTCGTTCCGAACCGCTGGGGCCTCCGATAGGTCTGTCGTCGAACCGGATGTGCTGCCACTGCCTTCCGCTCCCGACGCGCACCGCGCCGAAAAATGGACACCACCGGCCTGCACCAACCCTAACGCCCCGGCTCCACTTGTTAACGTCGTCGACCTCTGCATGGAAGACATCAACGACGTGGTGTGGCTGTTGGACGTGGGCGTGGTGGACACGATGACCGGCAGTCCGAGACGTCTGGCCCCGGCCAAGGTGGTCAGGCTAGAAATCGAAGAAGATCGGGATCACCGAGGACCGCCAAAGGTAAGTTACAGGACCGTGTAAAGGTGGGTTTCCATTATACACTTTCGCTATAATGTAATCCTTTGCTGTGATGGGTTGGTTAAGTGTTATAGCGCAGGACGTGTATACTTATAGTGGAAACCCGTCTTAATGCATTTTTTCAAGTTTAATAATCATTGTCACGTCTTGTTGATTTGTGTCCCAGTCGTCGTACAAGTCGTTCGAGATCAATATAGCGACGGCTGATACCGCGGACGGTTGCAGTGAGGCCTCGTCGTGCCTGCAGTACATCGTGACGTACCGTTCGCGGACCGGAGAACGCAACCATTACGCTTTCGTGTCGGACGCGGCCCGGAGCACGGTGCTGGTGATGAACACGGACACGGGTGCCCAGTGGGCCATGGACTTTCCGCAAAAGTCAAAGGGGCACGAAGCGGCGGAGCGGGACATATTGTTTATGGTGCTGCTGAGCACGGCCAACGGCCAGACATGGCTGTACACCACGTTCATGTCCGGTTGCAAAGTGTTCGGCGTCGACCTCGAGTACATCGATCGGTGTACGTTGGACGGGGCGCAGCCGGCGGTCGTCGAGATGGGACACAAACCGTACCGGATCACGGTGCTCGGCACGGACACCGGCAGCCGGATGTACTTCCGGCGGCCCACCGAGAACGAGATATGGTCGTGGGACGCCAACTATGGCCCGTTTCATCCGACAGGCTTCAAGCTGGTGTCCAAAGGCACAGACTGCCGGGCCCCGGTGCACGTGGCCCCCGGATATGGTGGGTTCGTTTACGTGCTCAGGAGCAACTTTGTCGACTACGTGCGCAACAGCACCGGTTCGATGGGTGCTTACAGCCTCATACAGCCTGTGATCACGCTGTCCTCGTCCTGTTCAGTGTCCACGACTACCTCGTTGCAGTCCAAAGCCGACGGTTGCGCGTGCCTGCTGACTGATTGATATTTTCGTCGACTCCAATAACTATACAATTTTAGTTTTTAGTTTTTCTCTTTTCCGCACAGTATTCTTTTTCTTTTCTGATGTCCTTTACAAATAATAATATTTTGATCGATTTCATCGAGTTTGCCAATCGTCAATACAATCTGTCAATATTTTCTAACATCTTTTGTCTATATAATATAGTATCTAGACTATAACTCCAAACAGATATCCCACAGGCAATGTAAGATATCCAGGATCAATTACGGCTGTGGTTGGTTATTATTGTTATTGAACCACGTTTTTTAAACACCGATGTTTAAGTAAATAAGTTATTGCCATTAATATTGTATACATAATAATAATTATAAATTAATCATTTATTATTATTTATACCGCATTAGTAAATATAGTTTCGGAATTTCATTAATTCTTTTTTAGATAACAAATTATTGATCTGACCGTCAAAAATCGTCTTATTAGTTGTCAACCTAATTACTATTCAACAATATACTTTATTGAATTTATAATATTTGCATAGGTAATACAATAAACTGATCTACAGGCAGTTTCAATACAACAGGCAACTACTAAAAATAATATCACCTCTATTATATTGTGCTAATATGTAGATTGAAGGTTCTCAAACTTTTTTTTTTATGCTCCACTTAAGTGTATCACAAATTAATCATGTACCTATCACTAATGACTAAAGTCGCTTTTTAAAATTATTTTTTACTCGGAATATTATCTCATGTTTTGCATACTTATAATATTTAATTGAAATTCAAGAACTGAAATAAGTATGATAATGAATGTTTTAAGTACACACTACACATATTTTATAAATGTATAAGTATTAAATCATTGAAGTCGTATTTTGCTTGACAGTTCAAGTGTGGTTAGGAAAAAAAAGACAAATACGTTAGGTAGTATAGATATTAATAAAATTGTATATCATTATTTAAGGAATATAATAAATAATAATATATTAAAATAGAAAATTCTACAATCTTTGTTTGATTGTGGTAATTGTCATTGAAAACAAAATTTTGCATCGGACGTGGTGTAGCGGGTCAAATTATTGGCAATCGCACAATTCGGTCATGAGCGAGTGCCCGACATTGAATGGTTGACCATAAGTTTGGTACCTATTGAGTTTGTTAGACATTAAGAATACACTATAATTAACACCTCTACTCGCATAATACGTATGTAAATAAGCGTCAATTAAGCACTTGTGATCGGTAAAAAATTGTTGTTTATAGTCACATAAATCATACTAAATCGAATTCACTTTTTGTATCGTTGATGGCACTCGATTTTCTCTCTTACGAAAAATTAGTAGGTATATTATGCGACAGGATATTACGCGAAACAGAATGAAATTTTATTGTAGTCCAGACGATCTGACGGAAATGTCCCGGGAACGATTTCTTGTGGTTTTCGCAATTAAAATATAATGGAAAAAACGTCTTATCGAAATGTTCTACGCTTATTGTGGAGTAAAAGGTTTTTAATATCGGAATAATAACACGTCTCATCCGAGACGCGTCGCACGAAATAGGTCAACCGTTTTAATTATTTTTTTCCAAGAATACCTATGTATACGTATAGTGTATAACAGTGATAATATTAATCTGTTAAATAACTATCCATTCATCATGGAGATTTCATATATACGGAAAATGATCGGTTTATATTATATTATTTGTTTTCAGAACATTCTCTGACGTCATTAGTCTCGGCCTAATATAATATTTTATATATTTACCCTCGCTGCTACAGGCTTCTATATAAAACTGTAATAGATATTCCGATCGTTAAAGTACCTACCGATTTACATATTTGGTAAAGGTAGGCGTACACCCGGATTGAAAGGTGCTGATATCGCGTCGGGTGACTTTACATTTGGAAGCAATGATAAATCTTTGTACACGAAAAACGATTCTGAATGCAACTCAGCTTATCCAAAAGTGGTTGTCACTATAATAACACACTTGCGGGTCAAGATTTACTTAAACCCATACTGGTCGCTTTGATATTTCGCATGATTTCAAAATACATCATCTATAAACATCAACTTATACCACTCCAAAATAACAATAAAATAAAAATAGAAAAGGCACATAATATCACATCAAAAGCACAATAAAAGCCACACCTATGTTGTCTTCGCTCTGAGTCTAAATCGTCCAGGTAAGTAAAATAATAAATTACTACTAAAAAATACTGGTCTTTCAGTGATTTTCACAACTATATTATTACATTAATATATATCATATGCATAATATAAGCGCACCTACGTTTTGTTTCAACAATCCTGCAAAAACGAGTTGTTTCAATTTTTTTTGGCGTCTGTTCAAATCATATAAAACCACTAACAAGCAAAACATCAAATTGACATGGACGTTTAGTGGTTTAGCTTAATTTACCTACCTAATATATTTTATATCACTGGACCCTATACTTTCGCTGTTGTTTCAAAAAATTAATAAATAACACAATTAAGGTACTTAAATAATTACATTATATTCTTAAAACGATTAAATAAAACCATTTAAATATTTAATACGTTCAGCGTAGATTTTTTTCTACTCACGAAATCTTCATTTAAATACATTTTTAAATATTTGAAAAAATTAAAAGGCACATTCACAAAAAAGTAATAATCATTATGTGGATACAATTGGTATATATTTTGTTTTCATTAAATTAGTTAAAAAATTGTTTGATGCCATACAAATCTCACTATCTAATGTGATGTTTAAGCATAAACACTTACGTGTATTACACCTATTATTTTTATTGTAATATTTGGTATCACAGATTATATCATAAATCCAAAAATCAATTTTATAACTATACATCTAGTTGTAATATAATTGTATAAAGAATTTAGAATTACCTAGGTGAATAACTAATAATTACATATATTTTAATATAATATACAAACGAATAATGCATTTGGAGAAAGCGATTTATGAGTATTTGTTTGATTTATAAAGTCTTAGGGATACCTTGCCGTTTTAAATAGGAGTCAACAAATTTGAATATATATTATATTATATACGAAGGCTCGATAATAACCGTGACTTTTAAATCAATACAATTAAATATAAAATATTGCATGGCCTCTTGCTGTATAGTATATATATATATAATTTATATTTTTGTTTTAAGTCTTATATTTTAAATGAAAACCTATAAACTAACCTAATATATTACCAGCTATAATTTTTTTAATAGTCCATACATAGTTGATATGGAAAAGCATATATTCTAAAATATACATAGGTAGGTATGGCACAATATTTACCTGTAGAAATAGTCTTAAATCATGTATAGCTTAAACTAATTGACTGTTAGGGACGTTTAATTGAACGATTTCAATTGTTTAATATCACTCTAGGAAGAGGTGACCTTCGAATAATTCAACAATAATTATTTTCACATTCAATTAGATTATTTTTTTTTCGTCATAGAATGATTTAATGTGAATTATTTATACATGTTATTTTTTTCTGATTCATCACTCCTAGAGTGTCAGCCAACAATATATCTAACTAATAAAATTCTCATCTCAAATACATGATATTAAGTTTATTCTGTTTACCTACAGTTAATTAAAATACTGGTACTTAATAATATTATATTGTTTGAAATTACTTAACGTTAATTTACATCGTTAGTTTGCAATATTTATATTTATATTATAATCTAATTAAATGTTTAATCTGTGTATATTATTGTTTTTATTTTTTTAATATATCTAATAAAAAATATGTTTATAAACGTATATGTGTCAAATTAGATAGATGTGTTTGGTTTGGTTGTGACTATAATGTGAACACATGAACATAATTGAAGCCAATGTATAATATTAACTTTATAAAAACTTATAATTTGTCTGTTTGCTTTATTTTACTTAATTTTTGTACTGATTTTTACTGATATTTCTAATATCATACGTATTTAAGTTTAAATTAATTTACTTTCATTATACCTCAACATATTTATTGATTATAGTTTTTTTAAATTCTTATATCTACACGGGGAATACAATTTAAAAGCTATGTCAGCCTATCATAAATCATGATCAATATTGTTTAATATTTAGTCTTTAAAATTCCCACATTAAAATATATTTATATGGGTATACCTAAATGATATTTGTGTCAATAAGTTAATGCTATCAATACTAATAGATAATGACGTTTATTCCATTTGTCGCATTACAAAATCATGATAAATAAGAAGGCTACCTACATACAATTGTAGTTGTTTAGACGATAAATTCATGACAATTTAGTTTATTTATATGGAAAATAAATTATAATTATAAATACACATATTATAATAATGTTATTAGGGGTGTTCTAAGTTATTACAACTGCAGTTTAATTATATTAATCGATATAGCCGTCTAGTAATTGCCACAATCGGTAAAGTTTTTATGTAATGTGCCGTGTGCGTATAACTATATATATAGTCGAATTCTTTAGTAAGTAATAGATTAAATATTTCTATTATTTTAAATAAATATTCGTCCTATTTGAGCGTTAATATAATATGTTAACAGCAATAATAATAAATTATTTTTTTTAACACGTTAAGCTATAAAAATAAAAAAAAGTTAAATTACATACTTCATACAGCCTGCGTGTGACAAGATTGATTTTTGGGAATAAAATGATCTTAGAAATAGATAATAGTAGACAATTTATAGAACATACATTATACAACTAGTAAATAAAAATGTTATTTTGCATGAAAAAATTTGAAAATAGTTACTATGTAATTGATTTATAAAAGTACTAAATTAATATCAGATTAAATTGAAAGAAGCACACGAAAAAAAATTATTTAATTGTGTAAAAATATAGAATAGCATATCTAAGATGGTAAGACACCCATAACTATGCGTCGTTTTTTAGGTTAAATTGTAACCTATATTTTTTTAATTTTTTTTTTCGTAATACACTTATCGATATTGATATCGTATAATAATACTTAATAGGTAGTATTGAATAATGATTATGACCTTTCAATGATAACGATGATATTAATAATTGTACCTAAACCACATAATATTATTATGAATACGAACCATTATTTATTATTAAAAATATGTTTTTGTTTATAATATGTTCAATGTTGAGTAAAAAATCAAGACAGTCGAAGGGTATGCATTCAGTATAAAAAATAACACTATCCTAATATACGAGTATAATAATAATAATAATAATCTTTGGTACAAAAAATAAACTCCATTTACACAATAACATTTGACACACAATTCAACTATATTACGGATATTATTATATCGGTAATATATCTTATATATTTATATTAAAATTATTAATAAATAAGAGTATTCGGGTTCACTTGTTATTATAAATTGGCCATTATTGAGTATAATATATTAAAGTGTTATGTTTGTGAATACTCGAGATAATATTGTTGCGGAGTCTATAACAATGATAAGAATGGTATACACCACTATAATGGTATATACTTTAATAATAAATAATAATATACCTCTGTGAACTTATTTAGGGGTATCCTACATTCATATATCATCATAACATGTGGCGGTTTGATCTTTATATGAATTCGGAATTATACATATACGATCCTGCCACAGAAATACCGAACGGGCTTTTGGAAATAAAAATAACGCAAACTCGCCAATACAAATCAGCACATTATTGTAATATCATATTATTCTTGTGTTTCATGCATTGCGCGTTATGGGCTTGTCCGCTCATGTCATTCAATATATTAATATCTGCATATGCATAATTATTATTTAATAATATTCCGTTGTACACGTATTCATCCAATAAGAGTACCTAGTACCTACACATACACAAATTGACAGCACATTGTTGGTATACATCATAACATTTAAAACTGAATTTCGGGACGGCGACAGCGTCGGAGGGTACTGTGTCGATGGCTGATCGAACGACCTGTTGGACTGGGGGCGATCTCAAGTATATAATACTTTAATATTAAATCGCACAATATATAAATATTCCGGAATATAATGTTATGTATTATTGTTTTGAGCGCGGCAAACGCGTTTGAAAGGTCATCGGATATTGATTTTCGTGTGGGTATGGCACGCCGCTTGAAATCACCTGGGAGGAAATAGTCAGCAGAGGATGGTTGGGTATAATAGACATATACGAGCGGAAGTGAATTGATGTACCGACTAAGTGTTGTACGTGTGCGGATGAGGACGAAAACCGATTTTGTGTAAACAGCTCTTGCGAGTCGCGGTATACATAACCACTACTTTCGCACCGAACGGCGGAGCGATTACCGCAGTTGGTGACGGTTAGGGAGCAAACACCGAGTGGAGGTTAGTCCGTCATTTCGATGTCCTCACCGCGACATTCGCGACGTGATAAGTGGACGACTTCCGCTGTCGTCAGAGTAGGCAAGGGGCGCGTGTGACAGGATCAGTGGCGTGCTTACAAATGCCAAAGTACCTACACTGCAGTTGTACAGGTACATAAAATACGAGCGTACTCACGGGCGTGTGACGGATTCGACTGGTAGCAGCTTTGTTTTAGCGCGCTAAATCAGTGGCGTCCTCGTCCTTTGCTCTCTCGCGGCGATGGCTGCGTTGTCCGCGGTATATAAATACCGGTACGGATGGCGGCGATCGGTTCCGACGCCTGTAGAAACCGGTGAGGGTAAAAAATTTGGCGACGAAAAATTAAAAAAATAAATAAAATTCGAATCCGTCGGAGACGATGGCCAATGCACGTATTGCCGATCGCGCGCGCGCGCGCACGTTCGAGTGTGTGTGTGCGTGTGTGGGTACGCGTGCGTGTATGCAGGGAAAAATATTTCGCGACTTTGCGGCGCAGGCGACGCGGCGACGGCCGTGCGGTTTCTAGAGCCGCTGGATGCTAAAAATGCCGCCGCCGTCGCAGCCGATCATACACACGCCGCCCGCGCCCGACCGTGGACCGAGGTCGGGCGGCGCTAGCGCCCCAAGCGGTCGCGGTCATCGATGTCGCCGCCGCCGCCGTCGCCGTCCTCCGCGGTTGGGATAACTATAGATTTTTTGGCCTAGGGCAAGTACGCGGGCGGCCACAATAGCGGCCGACCACGAGTGCAGCGGCCCGCCGTCGCGTCGTTGCCGTCACTGCATCTTATGCAGTGCGATGCACTAGCAAAACTGACGCTATCGCTTGCACGTTATCACACGGATAGTGATAACAGTTCGCCCAAGTGCGACGCTCAGTGTGACGCGACATAAGAATTACAGTCGCAACACCATACTGATTACTGACCGGTATAACTAAAATATTATCTGTCAGGATTTTTTCTACATATGTTGTTTGAACGTGTGCTGCTCTGAATTTACTGGGTTGTATGAAAATGTCGACGAGTTATTCAACTTAGAATACACACAACAATTTTATTCTGAATTTGTGCATATAAAACATAATATTTTGGAGTTGCCTATAATGTACTTTTAAAGTTTAAGTGCACAATTAACAACGTTTAGTGTTGACCAT